CCTCTTCTCCTTTCTCCAATATTCCTTTTTCACCGACGTACTTTTCTACTCCTCCCTCTCTTAACTCGTCCAATCTTTCCAATTTCTTTTCCACTTTTTTCCAACTTTCTTTTACATCGTTTAAATTTTTTATAGTTTCTTCTAACGTCGTCATATTGTTAAAAACAAATTATTTTATTGTTTTAGATCACAATTCTATATTTGTCAATGCTTTTAAAAAAGGCCTTCAAGACGAAGTTCGTGTATTTGTAAAAAAAAAAAATTCGGAACGAATGTATACAAATGAAAAAATTAAAAAGGTTTGATTTACAATTAAAATATTTTTTCGTTTATTAATATTTCATTTTTTACTCAATTAAAAAATTATTCGTTTATTAACTTTTCATTACTCAAGCGCGAAGTTCTTTTATACAATATACGAAAAAATGCATTTGGATCAGCTATAGCCTAAAAATAAAATTTTAAGAAATTAACACTGATTTAAATAAAACTAGGAAACGGGATCTGTCCATATATAGTCCTTCACTTCGTTCACTTTGTTCCGGACTAAAAAAAAGGGAATCTACCTAAACCTAATTGTAATATAATATAACGTCACAACTTAAAAATTCGTCATCTTTATTTCACTTTCATCATTTTCTTTAGAATTAAAATGACTTTTAGGATCCAATTCGTCTTCATCTATTATTTCACTTTCATAATTATCTTTAGAATTAACATGACTTTTAGGATCTATACTGTTAAGGTCCGAAATTACTTGACCAATATCTAGTCTCTTGTCTGGTTCATGCTCCCAACATCCTATTTAAATAAGTAAATTCAAGATTAATCGTAATAATGATTCTTACTTTGATAAAGTTTAACAAATATAGAATTTGTGGTTAAAATAGGCGTTTCTCTTACGCCTTTAAGAATTTTAAACTGAATAGCAGCTTTATCGACCGTAGTTTCAAAATTGAAAGGTGATGAACAACTTGTCAATTCCCAGAACAATACACCCAAGCTATAAATATCAGATTTTTTGGTCCAGTCATATAAGGGATCTTCTAAAATTTTAGGATCCACATAAGGTATTACACCACGTGCTGCTTTAGTATCTGATCCTTGTAGACATGAACATCCAAAGTCTGTTAATTTTATTGCACGTTGATGGATTAAAATGTTATTGGAATGCTACAACAGAAAATGAAATTATTAATCAAATGTAAAGGAATAATTAATTGACTTACAAGATCACAATGTATAATTTCATTGTCATGTAACCATAAAATTGCACTCGCAATGTCGTTGGCAAATTTCAATTGACTTTCCCACTTAAAGGTTTGGCGTTATTCCTTAAATATTCTCCTAATGTTCCGCCATCCGCATATTCAAGAATAAGCGCACAATTTATTTCATCTAATAATAATAAAAAACCGTGTGAACAAATATATACTAGAATAAATTACTAAAATATAATTATTTTACCTTCAAAATTCGTAATTCCATAAAATCTAATTATATTTGGATGAAAGTCGACTTTTCTTCTCATAATTCCCATCAAATGAATCTAAAAATATATATATAATTAATCGACATAACAAACATATATATTTTTTTAACAAAACTATATTTCAAACCTCATTCAAAATAATTTCTTTTGTAGAACCTTCGGCAAATTTTTTAATTGCAAATTTTGTTTGGGTACTTTTCCAATATGCAGCATAAACCGAAGCAGATCCTCCTGAACCAATTGGGGAAAATACCTTAAAATCTTGAGACTCATGATAAGGAATACAGCATTGCGATTAAAGTCTTGTGTAACACATTTTTTGTGGTGCAACAACTATCACAATAAAGTTTGAATTAATTTTGTGACACCAGATATTTACTTCATATATTAGGCCCGTCATTGTTAAATATTCCTAATATGCAGCAAAAAAAAAACCCATTTATTTTGGAAAGATCTTCCTTCTGCCGGATTTGGTTAGACTTAATTTTTTTCTTTGCTTTGTAATTGACGACGCTTTCGCAGGTAGATAAATATATGCAAGCCTTTAATGTATCGTAATTAACAACGGGAATTTTGAATGCGATCTCAATATTTAATAATTTATTTGTTAATTTTTTATTTTTCATTGAAAAAAATCATCAGTTAATAAATATTATTAAGTTAAATTATTAACGACATAGGTTGACTAGTATGAAAGCTGTTCGTTACTTTCAAAGACCTAACCAAACGGTAGCTAAATGGGATTTCTGTAGCTTTTATATAAAATTTCAAGTTACTCATATGCGTGGTATACGTAATTAACATAGTCGCATGCGCTTACATGATTTGTACTACAATTTTTGAATAAAAATTTGAAACTTGTGTAACCATAATCATAAAAATGAAGTCCAAAATTTGTGTAACCATGAACTTTAAAATCTCACTTGAACTTATATTAGTTTTTTTTTTTAGAGTAACTCGGCTTTTTTTAAACATGAAAATTCTGTTTTTTAAGTATGCGCATTATGAATTGTTTATTTTATTTTTTTTTTACAATATATATCTCTCACTAAGGTGCATAATACACTTAATTCTAAAACTATTCGCCATATTAAAAAATTATCTCCTTGATTTTTTACAGTCGAATGATAACTTAATATTGAATATTATTATTTAAGTTATTGATTTAATCTATTATGGAATTAACATTTGGATCCGAATAAATTAATTTTGATACAGCCTTTAATATGATATGAGTAGCATGTATAAATTGGGAAGATTGGACGAGTTAAGAGAGGGAGGAGTAGAAAAGTACGTCGGTGAAAAAGGAATATTGGAGAAAGGAGAAGAGG